TTCGAGGCACGGATTTTCAAACAACAAACACGCGCGCGTGCTATTGCGAATGCTTATGGACACCATAGGTTTTTCAAACTTCTCATAAAATGCTAGCAAACGGGCTTCGCGCGCGCATGTCGAAATCGTTCGAACGCCCTTGCGCGCGTGCTGGGGTGGCACGATCCGTGCCAAATGATACCATGCGAGCCACTGTCGCGCGTTTGCGGCGCGCGGATTTCGAATTACTTCCGACACCGTCATCACCGAAGACGCCGTCATCGTCGCCGGCGTGATCAGCATCGGCGCCGTCGCTGGCTGCCCCGTCGTCGCTGTCAACATTATCGCCAGCATCACTGCTATCATCAGCTTGTTTACCGTTGAGACGTTGCCATGACACCGCGCCCGCCCACGTCGCCGAGTCGCGCTGACATGCGCGCTGGGATGTGCCGAGCGGTCAGCGCCAGGGCGTTCGCGTCAGTTGCGCCAAACTAGCTGGCCGCTGCGCGCGCAAGCATGCGCGGGCTAGCGCGGCCGCGGAGATGCACCAACCAACGCCCAGCACTCATCACAATCGCTCCCGCATGGGTTCTGAAAAACCTAGATGCGGGTGGGCGGGAGGGATGAATGCGCGAGCAGTGGAGTTGTCAACGTTAAGTTCGGCAAGTGAGTTGCGCCGCGCGTAGATTGCGCCGCGTTGGGCTGTACTACCTAGATTGCACCACTTTAGTTGCGCACCTTCGCTCCGCGAAGATTGCGAGATATCAGTGTTTGGGGTCCACGCTGGTTATCGCGGTTAATGGGTCGTGCGGGCGCGCTGTAAAGCGCCCATCTTACATGGCGCATGAACAGGTATACTATTCTAGAGCTTGTAGCATGGATCTTCGAGCTTGCCATCGGACAGGAATGGGCGACGGAGGAGGAATCAGGGGGGGTGGTCGAGGGGCGGAAGGGGGGGGGAGACGAAGAAGTCACGTTGAGGAGAAGCCGACGACTGCGCGCATGGGAGGCACGCGCGCGGCAGCGTCACAATGCCCAGACGCTGTGGCGCTGCGGCGCCGTGGAAAGGGCGCGGCGCAAGGGCGACGCAGCGCCGCAAACCCATGCATGGCTGCGCGCGCAATGGCGCTGCAGCGCCGTGGAACGAGTCGCGAGAACGTGAATCTCTGACTCCGCATGCCCTCCAGCAGAGCCGGGCGCGCGCCAGGCGCGAGACGCGTCTCTCACGACGCGCGCCCGCCCACGTGGGCGAGCAACAAGTGGGCGAGGCATGCGCCCATGAAGCGTCCTCAGGGCCACTGACACGCGCGCAGAACACTTGGGGTGCTGGTCACAATTCAGCTAACGCTGCTTTCGCAGGCTCAAAACCATAACCAATTGCGCCACTCTCTCGGCAACCACGTGCAGATCGCGCTCGGCCTTGCAAAGGACGAGGTCACCTTGCGCCACGAAGTGGGATAATCACTCCGCTGGAATTGTAGGTAGCTACAAAACCAATGCTTCCATGTATGAACTACTTGAACGGCTCGGACGCTTGCCTGCTCAGCCGGGCGCCTGACTTTGAACGCGTCGCCGTCGTCGAATTGCCGCGCGTGCGCATCGGTGATGTCATTCAAAACGCTGGCGCCCAAACCATCAGAAGCTGCAGCCCAAACTTGAAGCGCGTTGGCGAAGCGCTTGTCATTCTTGCGAGCGCGCCCCGCTGTCCAGCGCGAAGGCAGCGCTGCGCGGCCCCAGCACCGCGCTGTCTCCGACGTGGTGGACGCAGCGCACTTTTTTTGAATCTTGCCATCAAGACTGGGCACCGAGCGATAGGAAATTCACGTTAAGCGGCCGCGCGCGGGCTGTCCACCGGGGCCTGTCGCCAGGAGACCCGCTGACTCTCGTCCAGTGCGAACGCGCGCGCCTCGGTCACCGCGCAGGCTGGCCGCGCGGGCGCCGCAGCGCCGCGGTGGCCGACGCCCCCGGAGAAACGCGACACCCCGCGCGCGCACGCACAAGCGCGCGCGAGCATCGCAAGCCCTGTAGCGCATCACCCCCCTGCGCTCACCCCGCCCAAATATTTCGGCCTCGCGCGCGAGGTGCGTTGCGCGCGATTCAACCCCCATGGCCTCCAAGAGCGCGCCCGTCCCCAGTGCATCTTCGCGGCGCGCATCTCCCTGACTATAGCGCGCGTGACGGGGCTGCGCGCCGCGCGCCCAATTGAACTGCAACCCCTGGCCCGCGCGTCGGCGCGCGCCAGCGCGACGCCGAGCCCGTCTCAAAATCCATCTTCGCGGCTGGTGGGGGGTGGGGCTGCGGCGCCTCAGCCGGCGGCGGCGATGGCTTTCCTGTTTTTCCTGCCCCCCCCCCTCTGTCCCTTCTCTCCCGAGCAAGCGCCGGCCCAGACAGTTGCCAGGCAGCAAGCGAACCAGGTTCGGAGTGTTCAGCGACGTGTGCTTGTTGCACTGCGTCGGCGGACGAGACGCAGCTCGCTCGCCGCCGCGCGGCGCGAAGGCGGGCCACGCCTTCCCCCCTGTGCTCAACGCAGAAAAAACCCTGGAGCGCTTCGGCCAGGCCGGGTCGCCAGGGCGGCGCTCCCGACGTCCGCGAGCTCAACGTCAGACTTCGGGGCGCTCGGGAACTTTCCTTGTTTGGGACCCAATCGCGCCAGCGCGCCACGAGGGCGCTATCGCGCGCGCCCGCTCGAACGCCGAGCTCACAGGCGCGCCCTGAAGGCGCTTCCACGCGCGCCCCATCACACGCGGCGCTCGCTGGCGTGCCCCGAGGGCGCTGGCGTGCCTCGAGGGCGCTCTCGCGCGCGCCCGTTCGCACGCGGCGCTCTCCGGCGCGCCCCAAGCGCCCTTTCGTGCGCGCCCGCTCGCGCGCGACGCTCATTGGCACGCCCCGAGGGCGCTCTCGCGCGCGCCCGCTCGCGCGCGGCGTTCTCTGGCGCGCCCCGAGGGCGCATTTGCGCGCGCCCGCTCGCGGGCAAGCGTAGAGGGCGCTCTCGCGCGCGCCCGCTGGCACGCGGTGCTCACCGGCGCGCCCCGGGGGCGATCTCGCGCGCGGCGCTCTGTGGCGCGCCCCGAGCGCGCTGCCGTCCGTCCTCGCTGGCGCTCGGCTCGCTCCGGCGCGCCGCAAGGGCGCTCAGTCTTGTGCGTGCCCGCTCGCGCGCGCGCTGGCGCGCCTCGAACGCGCCCTCGCGCGCGCCCGCTCGCACGCGGCGCTCTCCGGCGCGCCCCAAGAGCCCTTTCGCGCGTGCCCGCTCGCGCGAGACAATCACTGGCACGCACCGAGGGCGCTCTCGCGCGCGCCCGCTCGCGCGCGGCGTTCTCTGGCGCGCCCCGAAGCGCATTTGCGCGCGCCCGCTCGCGCGCGGTGCTCGCGGGCGAGCGTGGATAGAGGTCGCTCTCGCGCATGCCCACGGGCGCGCGGTGCTCTCTGGCGCGCCCCGGGGCGATCTCGCGCGCGGCGCTCTCTGGCGCGCCCCGAGCGCGCTTCCGTCCGTCCTCGCTCGCGTTCGGCTCGCTCCGGCGCGCCACAAGGGCGTTCAGTCCTGTGCGCGCCCGCTCGCGCGCGGCGCGCGCTTGCGCGCCCCGAGAGCGCCCTCGCGCGCGCCCGCTCGAGTGCGGCGCGCTCTGGCCCGAGGGCGCTTCCGCGCGCGCCCGCTCGCGCGCGGCGCAGCCTGGCGCTTCCCGAAGGCATCTCCGTGACCCGAAGACGCTTTCGCGCGGGCCCGCTCGCGCGCGGCGCGCTCTGGCGCGCCGAAATTGCAATTCCGCGAGCGCCCGCTCGGGCGCGGCGCTCTTTGGCGCGCGGCGAGGGCGCTTCCGCGCGCGCCCGCTCGCACTCTGGCGCTCCCTGCTGACGCCCCTCATGCAGGCCCCTCCCATCCCGCGTAGCGTTTGCGTAAATTTGCAACAGACTTCTTCTCGCGCAACCCCACCTCCGCAGGTGCGACGCTGCGGCGCGGCGACCGCATGGGCGACCGCGCGCGCTCGCGCGTTGACTGCGCGCGCTGCGCCGCCCTGCCTGGCGCCACGCGCCGATCACCTTGCGAACGCCGCTCGCCAATAACGCTGCCGATGCGACGCGTCGCGCCTTCCCGCGCGCGGTCGAGCGCTGTCCAGTCGCGAAAAGGATCCAAGTGGCGCCGCGCGCAGGCCTCTGCGCGAGACGTCGGATTGGCACCGCGCGGCGACCTCCGCGCAACGCATTGCTGTTCAAGATTGGGCCAAACATTCGACGCGCGAATCGCCCAATGCGCCCGCAGGCGCTAAAACAGCTGAGCAGGGAAGCTGCCTGGCGCCGCGCGCCGACCCCAGCGCGGACAACTCGGATGCAGCTGACGTCTTCTCATGCAGCCGTTCCTCGCGCGGTGGTGGAGCTACGATGAGCTTGCATTTGCTACGCCGCTGCGACGCCGCGTGCGCGCGAGCGCTGGCCAGTCGCGCGCGGAATGTGATTGGCGCCTCGCGCCGACCCCGGCGCGACGCATTGCGTTCCAAGATCGGGCCTCCCGTGCGACGCGTGGAGTCTTCGCCTGCGCGCGCGAGTGCTGTCCAGGCTAGCAGCGAAACTGCTTGGCACCGCGTGCCGGCCCCAGCGCAAAAAGTCTCGTCGCCGAGCCAGTCGCCGACGCGGCGCACCCGCAGTCTACACGCGCCGACCCGAGCGCGAGCAATTTCGTCGCCGAAGTTGCGCTGCTCGGAGCGATCCCCAGCGGATGTTACGCCCGTGCGTGTGGCTGCGTGGCTGCGCGTACGCCCATTTGAGTGTGGTTGCGTGGGGGTCGCACGCGAGGGAGCTGACTCTCCAGGCACAGCCGGCGCAGGGTTGAGGACTGGGCCACGGGCATCCCGTAGCGCGCAAATCCTGTTGGGGAGGCGGTGTGCGTTCGCCGCGCACTCCACAATAGCACGCACACACACACACACACACTCTCTGTCTCTCTTTCTCGTTCTCTCTGTATCTTTATATATGTTTATCTTTCTCTCTCTTTCTCCCTTTCCCTGTCCAGCTGACAACAGCCCCCTCGCCTGCAAATGATAGTCATCGGAACGTCCTCGATCTCGCGCCCGTTCGGGTGCGTGTCCTCCGCTGCTTCGCTCAGCACTGGATGCTTCAAACTGCTGGGGTAGGACAGCCTCTGCAACTTCCCTGGTGGAAAACCGCATCTCGGAGGACTAATCGAGACAACGGCGGCCCTACCACCCCGGCCCTACTCCGCTCAGAATCACTCCCTGGTGTCCTTGAACGTCTCCCGTGCGGATCGTGGCGACGAGAAGCCTCCAAGAAAAGCCCGCAAAGGCAGCGGCAAACAACGAGCAAAACAAACACGGCAGGAAAGGCGGCCCCTGTCGTCTGGTCCTCCTCCGAGCACCCAAGGCGCCACGGCCTTGCGCCCTGCGTCACGTGAGCCGCGGTACACCCTCGCGCCTCTCGCGCGCATCAGCCTTGATAAGGGGCAGCGTCAGGGGGGACCAGTTCAGGGGGGACGCATCGACCTGGAATCGGCAATACATCGCCCATTGATCGGCGATACGCTCTCGATGGCACATCCGTGCGGTCCTGGGGGTGGGTAGGCCCATCGGGCACCTTTAGCGATAAACGGGCGATTGGGGATCAATGCACTCCCAGCGTTGCCGCTGCCTTGGAGAGGGGCCGCTTCTCGGGCGTCATGCCGCGAAGCGCGAGTTTCTTCGCTCGCCCCGCTCCGTGGGCAACCTGCATCCTGGAACGGCGGCTACATGATGGCCCCAGGTGGCCGACTCTAGAAGACCGGAACCCAAAAATGTTGATGCCTCACTCGGAGGCGACGATAGGGGCGAATAGCCCAGGGGAGACGCCTACATGTGTCCAGGGGCACCGATGGTCCATGTCTTCGGGGAGGCTCCCGGGCGAATACGTGTAATGCCCGCCCCTTGGCTGTTCGCCCCCCTCGTCGCCTCCGACTCACGTGTAGTTCTGCCGCCTTCCGCCGAGCTTCCGCCAGCGGGCCCGCCGCCGTTTCACTTCCGCAGGGCTTCCGCTGGCCTTCCGCCGAGGGTGAGCGTGCACCAGAGGCAGCGCCTTTGTCTGGAACGTCCTACAGTCGCTGCACGTCCATAAGGAATGTGTAATCATGAACAAAGGGGCCCAGGTCGCAAACAGGTTCCACGACATGAATTTAAGGAACGGCCCGAAAACCCGAGCCCGTTCCCGAGCCCAAAGCAGTCCGTGTTTCAGCGTCTTGAGTCTTGACTGTAGGTGGCTCCCACCCCAAGACGCTCGAGATACCCAAAAGGCCCCACAAAAACCTCGGAGCGCGAGGCGGTCCGGCCCGAATGCCTGGCCGCAGCCACGAGGAGTCGCGTCGCCCTGACACCAGGGCAAATCGGCGCTGAGTGGCCTCGCGACCCGGGGCCGGTAAAACAAACGCGGCACTCCTCGGCGCAAGCCCGGCCCCCGGCCTCTCCCGACGTGCCCCCCCGGCCATATGCAGGTGGCACCTGTACGCCGTCACCGTGTTGACATGGCCAGGCTCATCCTGGGCCGAGGCCAGGTCCGCAATCCGCTCCAACGCGCCAGGATGGCCCCGGCCAACCACGGTGGTGTACGGGCGTTGCGCCTCGTGCCGGATGCCGAGTCGCGCACGACGGGCGGGCCAAGCCGTGCGCGAGGGCCCGTGCATGGCCGTCAGCTCGTTCGCTGCCCCTGCACCCCTTCTGCGCCTCCGCCTCCTCCTCCTCCTCCTCCTCTTTATCCTCCTCGAAGGTCGACAACATGTGGGGCGCTTCTGGCCCTCTCTGGACCTCTTGCGACATCGGGGAACCTCCGACGTCATCGGGGGTCAGGTATTCCAAGCCGCTTGAAGTGAAACGTTCTTATGCCCCAGTACCTTACTTTGCTTTGGGGCAGAAGAGCTGATATGACAGCTGACGCGGCTCTCTACTTGTCTCTCCTTCTTTCGGCTCTCTACTTGTTTCTCCTTCTCTTTCTTTCATGGTCCCAAGAGGGCCCCTTGGGTTCCCAAGAGGGCCCCAAGAGACGCCCAACGGGCTCCAAGAAAACCCCCAAGAGGCTTCCAAAGACTCCCCAGCGGTCTCACAGAGGCCCTCAAAACGCCTCATCCCCCCAAGAGGCAGCCAAGACGGTCCAAGAGGCTCCCGGGACTGCCAAGAGACGGCCAAGACGCCCCAAGAGGCCTCCAAGAAGCGACCAAGAGGGGCCCCAGAGGGCCCCAAGAGGCGATCTTGACGGTCCCAGAGGAGGGGGCTAAAATCCCACCAGCCCTGTAGGTCGTGAGTGGTTTTGATACCCCCCTCTTCCAACCCCCTTCTACCTCTACAATTACTCAATATGAATACTACTCTCCTCCTTCCCCTGATGACGGGTTGGGAGTGTTCGCCCTCCTCCGCGTACTGTTTTTTACACAGGATTCCCCGGAGTTGGGTTTTCGCCTGCACTTTTATCAAAATGCTGCTCTCGCTGAGGCGCCGGCCTCATTTTCGGGCCCCGCTCGTTCCGAATCGTGCTCCCGCTGCAGCGCTGGCCTCATTTCCGTGCTTCCGCTCGTTCCGAATCATGCTCCCGCTGCAGCGCTGGCCTCATTTCCGCGCTTCCGCTCGTTCCGAGCGGTGCTCCCGCTGCAGCGTTGGCGTCATTTCCCGTGCCATGCCACGGCATGCAATGCAATGCTAGGTTGCGTTCCGCTGCGCGATGCCATGCCTTCAGCTGAAGCTGTGATATGCAGTGCTTAAGTGCCACGTCGTGCTATGCCATGCTACGCTTTGATCTTGAACGCCATGCTATGCAATGTTATGTTCGGGGCCGCTGTGCGATGCCATGCTTTGCGTTGCAAAGCTTTGTGATGCAAAATTTCACTACGCCACGCCACGCCATGCTGTGACATACCACGCTTTGCGGTACTCTTCTACGCCATGCCATGCCGTGCTCTACAATGCATCGCGTATGGGATCATTGCCCTGCTCGACATCCGACTGTGCGAGTAGAGAGGGGATCTACGCGATGGTCAGGGATGGGAGGGAGGGGTAGGATGTCAGATATGACGCGAGCGCACCTAGCTTGTCGGTACCCCCTCCCCCTGGACCTGGACGGGGCCTTTCGCGAGCGGTCAGAGCCAGAGCGTCCAAGATGGCCCAAGATGACTCCAAGAAGGCCCCAAAGAGCAAAAGATAGCCTCCAAGATCGCTGAAGATAGCCCAAAATGGCCAAAGATAGCTTGCAACAGACCTCCAAGAAGCTTCAAGACCCCTCCAAGACGGCTCTAAATTGCCAAAGGGCCTCCAAGGACGCCCTGAAGAGGCCAACAACCGTCCAAAACCTAATAGAAATCAATGCTTTTGTTTGCCTTCTCGCCTTTTCGCTTCCGATGAGCTTCTGAAGTCTCGAGATGGCTCCGGGATGGACCCAGGGATCTTCAAGAGGGGTCCAAGAGAGGCCCAAGACGGCCCCAAGAGCGCCCAAGATCGCCCCAAGAGCGTCCCGAGAGAGCTCCAAGATGCGATTTTGAGGGTTCCGACGGTGGGATCCAAATTGACGCCGCCTTCTTTGTTGGTCGATGGCTTCCGAGATGGCCCAAGAGAGGCCCAAGAGGGGTCCAAGATGACTCCAAGATGGCTGCAAGAGCGCCCCGAGAGGCCTCCAAGAGGCCGAAACCCTTCTAAAACCTTAATTCGCCGGCCCATGGGCCAGAAGCGTGCTAAAATCTCCGGTAACCGGTAAACGATATGTCTAGTTCGCGCGCGCGGGCTGGCCCCTGAAGTCCCTGGACGATGAGTACCCTGGCAAGGTCCCCGCAAGATCCGCCCAAGGATGCTGGAACTCCACTGGGCGGTTCCCCAGACCCCCAGAGCGCTCCAAGACGGCCTCAATCGGCCCCTAAGATGGTCCAAGAGGGCTCCGACCGATCGGTCCAAGGCGCCCAAGGTAGCGTCCAGACGGCCGCAGACGCCTCCAAGACGCCCAAAGAGGTCTCCAAGAAGAGTTTTCAAGAGGGCCCCAGGAGGCACAATGCATCGACTTCCTTTTGGCGTTTGAAAAGAATGACGTTCTCACCTGTTCGGCTTCCCGACGCTGAAACACGGCCAAAGAGGCCCAAAATATCGCTCCAAGACGGCCGAAGAGGCCTCCAAGAGGGCTCCAAGACGGCTCCAAGAGGGGGCCCAGACGGGGAACCCGGACGGACATTTCGAGCCCTCGGCACCAAGAGGCGCGCAGGAGGCTCCAAGCAGCCCCCCAAGAGGCTCCAAGACGCCCCCCAAAGGCCCTAAGACAACCCAAACAGGCCCCCAAGAAGCCCCCAGGAGGCCTCAAAGAAGCGCCCAAACGGCCTAAACGCCAACGGTGGCACAATACGGGCTGGTGGAATGAGCGAAGCGATTCAATTAAATCAATGATGTTTGCTTGTGGGCTCAAGATGGCCCCAAGATAACCGAAGAAAGGTCCCAAGAGGGGCCCAGGAGGGCCCCAAGACAGCTCCAAGAGTGCCCCAAGCGGGGCCCGAAAAGCGATTTTGGGTGCCCTGACGTGGGGGCGGAGAAAAGTACCTTCCCTTCTTTCATCGATGACTTCGAAGATGGCTCCAAGATGACCCAAGAGAGGCCCAAGAGGTGCCCAAGAAGGCCCCTAAGGCGGCCCCAAGTGCGCTCCAGGAAGGCCCAAGATCGCCCCAAGAACGCGCCAAGAGGGCCCGAAGGGCTTCACTTGAAGGCCCACAGAAGCTTCCAAGAGGCTCCCACAGCCAAATATGTCGTCGCCGTCGTCGTTATCGCCATCGTCGTGGTTGTTGTCGTCGCCTTCGGCGTCGTCCACTCTGGATGCTGTTATCATGCGGAGTTACTCCTACCTCTTTCTGCAAGTGTTGCCACATTGTGCTAGAACGGCAAAGCTGCAATGCACAAACAACTGCAATGCAGACCGTTTCAATGTAAAACGGAACTGCAATGCAAAAAGCTGTAATTCTGATCATGGTCGTCGTCGCCGTGGGCTTCTGACCCTCCCTGGACCTCCCCAAACTGCTCTCGCCTAGCACGCGGAATCCAAAGCTGAAGCTAGAACGGCAAAGATGCAATGCCGAAACAAGCCTGCGAC